CATACATATCTTTCGATGCGGATCGACGAGAGGATCACGATGGTGCTATTGGTTTGTTCCTAGCTGGGATACCTTGGAAGTTATTCGAGAAAAACTTCATATATATGTAGTGCCGCAATTTCGACTTCCTTTTTGCTCCTGTGACGTCATCTTTGACCTGACCTGAAAATGACCTAAGTAAAAATTATAGACCTTATCCGTGTGTACCCTGCACCGTTTACCGCTTGTCGCTATCTTGCTTTATTCTCGAGATCTCGCTGTCGCTCCCGCTCGTCACGTGACCTAAGGTCAACTTTTGACCTTTCGACCTTTCGAGGTCAACATACATATCTTTCGATGCGGATCGACGAGAGGATCACGATGGTGCTATTGGTTTGTTCCTAGCTGGGATACCTTGAAAGTTATTAGAGAAAAACTTCATATATATGTAGTGCCGCAATTTTGACTTCCTTTTTGCTCCTGTGACGTCATCTTTGACCTGACCTGAAAATGACCTCAGTAAAAATTATAGACCTTATCCGTTTGTACCCTGCAACGTTTACCACTTGTCGCTATCTTGCTTTATTCTCGAGATCTCACTGTCGCTCCCGCTCGTAATAATGGACAGGTCATAAAAATGACCTGATCTGAGGTCAACGCAGGGCGATATCCACTTTTTTTTATTTTCGCATATGAATGACAATCGATAAGGCTTTAATCGTCATCAGACAAAATTGCAACTTTCAGTGGGGAAAATATCAAGGTCACTCTTCGAATAATAGGTCAAAAGGTCACGTGATCAAAATTTTCAAAAAATGAAAATCCGAGATAGCCAAAATGTTTGTTGTCTGATTGTGAGTTGAACCATATAAAGTTTTTATCGTAGAAAACCAATAGTTTTTTAGTTATAGGCCGCCAAACATAGGGCTGCAGCGCGACCTCCAGGAATTGCCCGAGGCTATATCTCGGAAGCCGTTGTTCGGAGAAAAAAAATCCTTGCCACAGCTGGCTTCCCTGCCCATCACAACCCCTTACACCAGTTTTCAACGAAAAATAAAATATGAGGGTGCAAATTTAATTTTTTATATGTCGATTTGTCGTGGAACGCCCCTTCTATAAAACGTGCACTATATGATCATTATATGAGCAGACTGGAAAGAAATTGTGATGACTCTTTCGGGAGATATAGCTAAAAATGTGTTTTTTGAGTGATTTTTATGTTTTGTTGTCAGATTATGAATCATGGCGTTCTTTTATGGTCCACATTAGGTTAACGACTTTTATGTATTTTGAACAACTATTGTCTGACGCTTATCATGCCGGGTTGGTTCGTGTTAAATTATGTCTTACTGGAGTGCAAGGCGTTGTTCTCTGACCGAACTACGTGATGGGGTAAAACGCCCCAGAAGGTCGCGGGGCAAAAAGCCCCTGGGGCGTTTTACCTCTTGTGTTGTTGGGGCTACCCACTTTCTAATGTTCGGTAGCTGGCGAACAGTAAGTTTCTATGCCTTTATGTGTATTTTTCTCAGCAACTGGATGGCAAAGGAAGTATTTTGTTAACATTTGCATTGCAATAATTTATTATTTGGTCTTATGAGGTAGGTGAAAAACCTGCTCATACAACAGTGTCATATGCTGAGCACCTGAAAGGATGGAATGTGCTAACTTCAGTGCCGTGCCTCCAGAGGTCTAACGGACCTCTCACATAAGATTTAGCCAACTACCATGTTAAATCTTTAATCTAAGGTATGGGGCTACTTGCCCCAGGCCGTGGGGCGTTTTGCCCTGGGGTTGGGGCAAAATGCCCCATTTGCAGTTGCTTCACAAATCACTTCCTAGCTTGGAGTCCGATCATAAGTGAATCAATTTGAGGGGTGCAATTTAAAGTAAAATGTCCAAAGAACGCATTGAGCACAAATTTGGCCTTTCAGGTGATGTGGGACAAAATTTATGTAGCAAAATAAATTATCTGGGGCGTCTTGCCCCAGGCTACCCTACTGGTACTTTGGCAATGCACATACCTTTGAACCACTGACACTCTCACGGTGAGAAGTTGATCATCCGGTGAATAATTGACCACGCAACCAACTTTGACAAATTTTTTGCCTCGTCTTCTCTCTAAATGGGAGTGGGAAGTTACATCACAACAGAAAGGCCTTTTAGTTTTGACTAGGCTGTAGTGTACCGTTGAACCAAACTAACAAGCAATCACCTCTGAAGCGACGGCTCCTTTTCGACAGAACGGGCATGATTGGCAATAAATTCAATTTCTGTACGACACGAGTCATACGGTTATATAACTATTACATATATCAAATCATTCACACTACCTACACTACAGTAAAACATATCGCATAAACTTTAGAAATCGAAGTCCGATGAGGAGCTAAATCATAGTTAACATTTTTGACTGTCATGTAATAAAGTTCTTTCAGAGGACGTGGTTGACTCGGGCTGACTACGCTGCAGCTGACAAGGAAATTTCCTTCATATGGTAACTGATCACGTCATGAAAAATAGATTCTTAGTCATAAAACATTCCCAGGTTGACCATATTATCCTCCATTGACTTATAGCAGCAAGCACCGGTTGGATATTGCGCTGCGGGGATATCCAACCAGAAGTATCCGTTAACGGCTGGCCAATGACCAACACTAACCACTGACCGGCCGGGATTTAACCCTCCCGCGGCACTACCCCGCCCGGATCAGATCTAGACGACCTGCCACCGATCCCCGCCCTGCCAGCCCTCCCCCGCTGCCCCCGCGCTCATACCAGGCCGATTATCCATCTGACCATCAGCGGCGGTCGCTCCAAACTCGCCGAGTCATTCCACCAGCCCCGAACTGTGGCTAGGAGCGCAGTGGCGTCGACTCTGAGCGCGCTAATGGACTGGTGCACGCCCGTGCAACCGGGTGCACGGTGGACAAAGTGCATGATGCATGGTGCATCCCATGTCTGCTTTTTACGTACCAAAAAAGTGAAGATATATTGATAGAATCATAAATGATTGAGCATTTTGTACCGTCGTAACATTCATAAATGCCTTTATCTACAGAGCAATATCTGTAGCAGCAAATTGCACATCCAGTCAGTGGTAAATACAGGTGTCCCAAAGTCATCGAAATGCGACAGGTCCCCCTGTGTGTCTTCAACGCCAGCCTGTGCTATATGGAGACTGCACAATTTTCTATCAAGAACCAAATAATCATCGTCAGCAAACCCCGGCCAACGTTTTAACGTCACTGCAGCTTCCGCGCCTTAATGGTGAAAAAAAAAAAAATATAAGGAAATTCATTTTTGTCCTTCTGACCGGTTAGGTTCCTCAATTATCTACGTCCCATCTTGCCGAAGAAAAGTTTACGCCGACGCTACGGAAGCCGGAGGTCCAAATGAAGGAGGACGACTAAACAAGCGGCATCTTTGAAGCTATTTTTACGTCACTGAAGCATACAAACAGCAACCACTCGTCTTTCATCGCGCATTTGGTTCACAAGTCTGGGGTAGCTTCGCTCGCCGTTCAGCTAAGAGCCACTGAAGAAGCAAGGGGAACGCTACCGTACGAAGGCTGAATGACCACACAACCGGTTATTCCGACTAGCAGTATTACAATGCAAAGCTTTAGGTCAGGGATAGCGCAGAGGAATCGGGTCTGAGTCAGAGATGAAACTGTCAAATTAAAGTCAAATCAGGATGAGGAAGTGGCACGAGAATGAAAGGCTGATGCTCATACTTTATACTCTTCAAGGTCCGTTCTAATCCGCGCCAGATATGAGGAAGTGTAAAAATATTACGAACTTTTTATGGGTGCAAACGGTGACGCCGAAATACTTGCCATTTTCATCGCACATAAAAAATCGTCATTAGGGAGCAATCAGTACCCGAGCCAGGACATTAAAAGTAACTTTTTATTTTGATGACTTATTTGCCATAGAATAGCTGACAAACTTCATCAGCAGCGTCTGCGTCGGCGTATGAGTACGCTTCGATGACCTACAATAACTCATTTTTTTTTATAAATTTAGTCCGAACCTTTTGATGGGAAGGATTCACAAGGACAGAGCCACCGCTAAGCGAAGCTTGTTGCGATGACCCTGCTCTCTACCCTCCGATCGCGCAATTCCGATTCTATGGCAGAATTTAGAGTCCAAAGTTTAACGTGCGCACAAAGCCGCGCACGGCCGGTCCCCTCGCTGACTTCGCCTGGCTACGGCCTGCCACCAACCGCAACCATACCTGTCAGGAGGCCCATAAATGTCGAGCGCCCGTCGCGCTTCGAACCCGGACTGTCATAACCGGGAACGCGTGCTCTCACCACGCGGAGTCCAACGCTCTAACCAACTGAGCTACGGGACCGGCTAAACTCATGTCCGTTAATTACGAAAAAAAAAATATGCAAGCATACATTTGATTTTCCTCTCCAAATCTCTCAAGTTCATTTCAATTACTCTTGAATGCCCCAACATTTAACATACATCTCCTTATCTCCTTTGAATCGGTGCCTTCTTCCCCTCCCCAAGTATGTGCAAATCAGCCGTACTAGGACCCCCCCCCCCCCTGGTAATCTTGAGCAACGCCAGGTACAGGGAGGGGGAATAATTCTGATCCTGAACAGGTGCCACTTGGTCTCGGGTGACCTAAATCGGTCCTCCGTCAGTCACGGCACGTGGGTGGGGTCGGGGGAGGGGAGGGGGGCGGAGGTGACAGGAGGCGACACGGTCCTGTCAAGCGTCACATCGGTTCACCGGGACGCTGTGACAGTGACACATTCAGTCAACGGTCGAACATCACTGTTGGTGGCTTCTCGCAGGGTACGCACGTCAGTGACCTGATGCAACGAACATGCTACGATGGATTATTGCATTTATAATGCATACCCCATTGTATACCGAACATACAGTAACAGACCTCAGTATGTACACAGAGGTCTAAGAGGACTGAGGAGTGAGATAACGCCACGCACACACCCTTCCCACGTATGCGTCGTATGTCTGCGAACAGGCGGGCGTCTCGGTACTCACTGTTGCACGCGGCACGTCTCACACATGAGCAGCGCCCGTCGCAGGTTCCTGCCACTCTTCTCCGCGATCCGCTGTGCCAGCTCGGACGGCAGCGCCAGACCCTCCTTCTTGCAGACGGCCTGCGGAGAGGGACAGCGACCGGCCGTTAGCGAGAGGTCACTGGTGTGCCGTCAGGGGAGGTCATTGATCTGCCCGTCAGGGGCAGGAGGTGAGAATTGTCGGCGGTACCACGGTACACTCGTAAACAAACTGGCATCGAGCTAAACTTATATGGACTGGAATCAGCATGAAAGTAGGATCAACTAGGCATCAATGCCTACAGTTGGCGCTGGTGACTCACAAGCATTTGGTGATTGTTTACATTTATCATGGATCAGAAAATCAGGTTTATACGATCGATAAAGCCCGTCAATTACCAGCAGTTGTCTCATCAATTGGTGTCACGAACCGTCTACAGTCATTGTCTCCTCGCAGAATACCATCTCCTACTTGCCTAGTGCTTACACGGCAACAACCTAAAGCAGATATGCCTGTATAACTAACAAGCTCAACAGATGACGACAGCAGGGTTTAGAAGTCAACGAAAGCGGCAGCGCCACCTGCCCAGGAAAGCATCACTCGATGTACCCGCAGGCTAAAGATGACGCTGAGGTTCGCTCCAGGTCCACCAACGATTCTCAGAAATGCAACCACCGCCACAACCCGGGCTCAGTAGGACGTCCGCTCAGCCCCTGGACCCCAGCCCGCGCCTCGCGGCGGCGTTACTCACGTGCAGCACGTCGGTGATCTGCTGGTGCGAGGGCGCCGGCACGCGCACGGCCAGGCACCGGCTGCGGATGGCCGGGATCACCTGGCTGCTGCTGTTGGCAACCAGGATGATCCGGCACGTGGACATGTACTTCTCCATGGTGCGCCGCAGACCGTGCTGCGCGTCCTTGGTCAGCCGGTCCGCCTCCGTGACTATTACAACTGAGGGAGGAGAGAGGACAACTGAGGTTAAATTGCTGCCCCCATAAAATGCTTTTATGAATCACTGAGAGCAAGGAATGGACCGCTGACATCGGAAGGCACTCACTGCAGTTGAGAAGCGTAACAAACGTACGATTACGACCATGTGTATATTCGCCTGTATCAGTTTCATAACGGGAAGCGGAGAACGTGCGGTAAACGCTTCACGCATTCCAAACATAATACAAACCACCGAAAAACGCCGCATATTTCAATATAACTCCGCCCTTTGGCCAGCATCAAATCCATTCCAGTTTAGCTCCCTGTCCTCGTCTCCGTCGGGTCTCCCCGAGTACCTTTGAAGTCGCGCTGGCTGTCGGCGTTGAGCTGGTGCGTCTGCGCCACCGTCTTCAGCAGCTCCTGGATCACCACGCGGTCGTTGTTGCCGGCGTCACTCGGGTTCACCTCGATGTGATAGTTGCTCGCCACTGTGACGATCTCGATCTTACGCTTTGACGGCGTCTGGGCGAGAGGTGTGACGGTCAAATGTGAGGAGGGCACGGCTTATGGGGCGATCAGGATTTATCGGTCATTGGCGTCTAAAAAATAATGAGAAATCAGAAAAATTATCATAAAGATAAGATTTCCATGACGGGGGCTTACAGTGTAGTTCAAACCACCATTTACACTAGCAGCGACAGTGAAAATGAAGTGAAATGCATACAAAAAAATCATAAAAAGATGCATCAACCACCTCAATCGTACGAAGGTGTTAATTGCTGTCGGGCCGCACCTCGAAATGCTGGTGCTCTATCCTGAGTTTGTCCACCCCGGCACCGTACAGCTCCCTCAGGAGGCACATGACGCGAGTCTTCTTCCCGGCGCCCGAGGGGCCGTACACCAGCAGATGTGGAAAGTCGCCACTTTTCACCTGCGCGGAGAAGTATGTCGTCAAAAGATCGGGGGTATGGCACATGCCACAAAGCTTGTTATAACAGAAAGCAGGGAATAATGGAGGGAAGGTCAAGAAACATTAAAATTCATAAATCTTTTGTCTTAAGTGATGTAGTATGCTCTCAGTGCCCAGCCTGGTAAGTGATTCTTGCTGCAGCTTTCACTCTTTTCTTGGTGCGAGTATTTCATCTGGTCTATTTTCCACAAGAGGTTCTAGACAAGAATGACCCAAGGCGCTCAAACAATTCCGTTCGCACTGAGAACTGATTTACCATAGTGTGGTGCACTGGGGTGGGCCCAATATAGTCATAGTGCAGTGGTGATCTGCTCTGCGGGCGCATTGACGTTCAAGAAAAAATACACAGGAGACACAATATTCTCCAAGTGGCCTGTTGGATAAGGCTGCAATCTTGCACCATTGTGGCAGGCAGCAGCGAGTTTTTGGTCAGAAATCTGAATGTTTAATCCCAGTCACTACATTCAGCCAGCTGAGCTGGTAACTGCCACAAGAGGGCCATGCTAGACCCAGGATGACCATACTGCAGCCAACCAGCCATACATTTAACTTCAAATTAAAATTATAACTGGAAAACTGGAAGTGGACAAGGCCGGAAAATGCCTTAATTTCATGGCGTCCCCCTCGCCGCCCCGCTCCAATGGATCAACCAGGAAAAAATTTCAGCATGAAAAGGAAAAACTGATAATGCAAAACAACACAGACAATGACATGAACGTGGGTGAGTACCTAGGTACCTAAGTAAAAAAGGTAAAAAAAACGGGTTATCCATAACTTACAAGTTTTGAGAGCCTAGAAGCTTGTCCATTATGATAGTCTAGCTTGCCAAGACTTGTTGGTCGATGCTTGTCTACCCACAGACTCATCTTGGCTTCAACGTAAAAGGTGCCTGAATTTAAATAAAAAATACGTAAAATAACCCAAGTATTGGTATGAGAGGGGAAAACCGAGCGCAGTACTCAAGGCCCTCTATATACCGCAGCACTCAAATGTAAACAACAAAATAGTCAACGAAAGGTCACGCGTGCGTCAAATATGAATTCCGCGCGTACTGAGACAGTGCTACCAAATTTATTTCGTCAAGTATTTTTCCTTTCTTTAGACTCACCTGTCTTTCTTCATACTATTCTTCATCCATTACTAGTCTAGTATTCTTTTCCTTGATTACAATATTCTTTTTTCACTAGCTTTGTGAAAATAAATTATTTTGAAAATATTAAAAATCACCCCAAAAAAGCTTAAAATATGCGAATCCATTTTTCATCCGAAATTCAGCACTATTCATCTCTATGGTATCACAACATCCGTAGACGTTCTTTTCGGTAGTGCGTCGGCTCCGACATGAAGGCATCGGAGGTAAATTGAGCTTTATTTCGTTAATAACTAAACCTCTGCACTGAGACGTGTACCATCCATGCTATATAATTTTGTGTTTAAAATTGTGTCATTTATTTTTGCCTTCATTGTCTCTTTCGCAGATAAATAGCCGGCGAAATTCAGGTTTATTGCGTGTATTTTGTCTCGTTTTCGTATATAAGCGATTTTCTCTGTATTCGGCTGTTTTAGGTATTGGTTTGCTGAGGAACATTGTAACAGTCATCATTGAAGTTTTTTATTGTGGTTTGAGCAGATTTTTTCACCCCCAAATGTCTGATGGATAGGTATTTGGGTACTCTCTTAGCAGGCGTCACCCCAGTTGCCAGATCTAGTGACCAGTTGAAAAATCTAGAGACTTTTTTAAAAGTCTAAATGGGCAGGAAAATCACCCAGGACGTTTAGGGAGGAGGATTGGGGGGGGGGGCGGGCGACGGCCGGCTCACGATATCAATCGGCTGATGTTGTCATGGTTACGGCGGTTGCGTGAGGTCCGTGAAGTTAGCGTCAGCAACAGCAGCGAATACAGCGTCAGCCGTCAGATTCAGAATTGCTTTAAAAGCTTATTGGGGTCAATTAGGGGGCGGGGAACACGAATATGACACTTATTTTGCCATAACTCCCCTCCTTCATCCCTTAATCCTCCCTTAAAGGACGGGGCGCGTCAATTGTGACCCTTATTTTGGCGATCAGGCGAACCCTTGAGGTAGTTTGACGCTCCCCGTCCTTTAAGGGACGATTAAGGGATAAGGGATACGCTACAGTCTGCACACATCTGACACCCGGCTAGATATTGACCTGAGGAATCGATTGCTAT